GAAGGTGTGAGGGGAGGGGGAGGGGGGGGGGGGGGGGGGGAAAGAAGGAGCCTATCCCTGTCCTATGATTAATGTAAGGCTGACCATGAACAAGATAATAATAGCCCCATCCTCTGGGAACCAGGCCTCTCCCTAATTGCTTTATTGGCAATTAGTCACCATGTGTCACCAGACTGTCACCACCCTCATGTTAATTTTTCATGTTTTTTACAGAAAGTTACTGCTGACTCTACAGGGTGTAACAAGAGCTTCTGTTTATTATCAAGCTTTTCTTAGCTCTTCAAGGACTTGGGTTTGGTGTCCTGGTAAGGCCAAGGACTGGAGCAGCCGTTTGGGTTGAACATGTGCTTGGGTCTAAGTACGCTGCGCCCCAGTACGGACTTTTCTAAACTAGACCCATGACTTGGAGGGCTGAATCCCTACTGACTGAAATTGTGCCTGCAGTTATAGAGTCTAATTGTCATAAAGGGGAGAGAGGGAGAGAAAACCACATTTAGAAGAGCTGGTTTGGGTGCCTCAGAATTGAACAAAACCATATGTGGGTTCTGATGAAGCTGCTGGGTTTTTTTTATGTAAAAATGTGGCTGTTCACCCCATGCTCTTGAAAGGAAACACGGAGCTTTGCAGCTGAACTGGGTGGTGCACGACCTCCAATACCTTGTCCTGGGTGACCCCGGGCCAGTCACGCAGCCTGCGTCAGCACTTCCCTACCTCCACCGCTGTGGGTCTGCGCAGGGAGGGGGGACACTCCACCAGTGGCACCTGGCTGCAGTCTACTGTGGTGACCATCTGGACTGCGGAAAGGATAGGGAAGGAAGGATGTATCTTTTCCCTTTGCTGGGAGGCCACAAAATGGATGGGGATGGTTGTGGATAACGGGAAGGATGCTTTGGTCATGCAAACTACGGTCATTTTGCTCCCCAGGAAGACTCATTCTCTGCAAACTAAAGCTTGCAGAAACCCATGTTTGACAACGGGCATGGTGAAATCATAGTCCCCTCCTTCCCTCAGATATTTTGACAATAAAGGAATTTCTGATGGAAAAGCATTGCACTTCTGTCCCCTCCCAAGCACCACCCTTCTCAGCTCCTTCAGAAACTGATGAAGTAACTGGCCACAACTGCAGACACTTTGCTCTAAATAAATATCTGATTAAGAATAAGATCATGGCAAAAGAGATCTCATTCCGAAAGCTGCAACACAGCCTCTTTCCATTTAAGCATCGCTAGCTGGTCCAGCGTTTGCAGTAGGCTGCATTTCCCGTATTGCATCACTCTGGGACAACCTAGCCTTAAAAAGAAGAGGCCGCCCCGTGAGTTAACGGAACTAAACTGGACTCAGTGCTGAATGCAAAGTAGTGGGAGAAGTATTTTTCTGCAAGGCTTTGCCTTTGTGCGCCTGACAAATCTGGTTCAGCTTGATCTGCTGTGTAGCATTAGGAGAGAAAACGAAGTAACAAGAAAAGCAATATTGGCTTAAACCACAGTATCATGACAATTTCATACACAATCTGTGGAATTCTGTTTTGTCACTGTGCACTTCCCTAATTCTTTACCAAATCCTCCTAGCACCCTCCCCAAACAACCCCGCCCTCATTACTTGTAAATGATTTAAAGAAAGAAAAAAAACAAACGAAAACACCCCCCCAACTCCAAAATTCATTAGTTATAAATAGTTTAACTTACGCAGCTTTAGTTAGTGAAGCCTGGATCACTGCTTCCATGCACTTGAAATCCTTTCCTGAATCCCTCTGAGTTCAGCAAAAGAGGTTCTGGTTTTGATAACTTCTGCACCTAATTCTCGTGTTAGAGCATTTTGAGCTACTTGGCACTGAGATCAACTGCACCGTGAGTCTGCGGAAAGCAGGCCCTGTGTTGGCTAAATGGCGGGAGAAGCTATCTTGCAATTGCTTTACAGGAAACATTTCCTGGCGTATTTTGTTCTCTCCTGCTCCTGCTCAGATACATTGAATGTAACAATTAACATAGGAAGTGTGAAGCAGCTGGCTTTCAACATGTCCTTCCACCTCTCCCGTCTGAATCACATCACACATCTCTGTTTAGTCTATTAAATATACTGATAAATATACTGAGATACTGTTAAAGTTATTTCCTGAACAACTTTATTTAATCAGTTTCAGTGAGTAAAAAAGATTTAGCCAACAGCTATTTCCCTCACGCAGGCTTGCAGCTCACGAACAAAACAGCTCCCTGAAGAGCAAGAACAGAGTTCATTGAGGAACGTGCTAATGAAAGCTGGATTATTTTCCCTCATTAGGTGTAATTACTTTAGGTTTTGCAGGCTGTCTTCTATGGGGTGTCCTTCCTGGCTGATGTGTTGAGACTAATTAAAAAACTGCGATGTGCTAAGTGCATGATTTCCAGCAGAGACCTTCTTTTCAGTGTCCTGGCTTTCCCAGTGTCCACAGTAAGTAACCTCTGTATGTAAAAATAATGTTTGCATAAATGATTAGGGGTGTATAGCATAACATGCACATGTATAAAATAGATAAGAACTGTAGGCTTTCTTTTACCATTTGAAAATGGATTTGGACCATTTAGAAGAAGAAACAGTGCTGAGCCTCTCATGGTTGAATGCAAAGCACAAACTTTAGGGTTGCTGTCCCCAAGCGAACAGAGATTGACCCTAAAGGGTGAATGAGGTGTAACCTCTCCATTAATCTCACAGTCCAAATAGCTGTAGATTTATTGACTTACTTAAGGCATTTCTCTAAAGGGCAGTACAGGCCAGAAGGACATGAGAGGGTACCTAAGAGGCAGCAAAATCTCACATCTCCTTCTCTGACTCTGGTGTGGCTTTAAATAAGCACTGGAGAGAAACAAATTCACAGGATAAGAATTATAGTCATAGTCTATGTCGGATTCACCACGGATCACCTACTCCCTCACAGACAATGCTGTTTATTGAAATGCCATTTATCTGGTGCTGTGGCTTGAATGGGAACCGATGGGTTACTTATACGGGTAGGTACCGCTCTGTGTGCGTGAAGCCTGCAGCCACCTCTGAATCTCAAAGGGCTGAGAAGCACTGCTTAAATCTGGTCCCCAAGCAGCTCAGCCAGCTGGCTCACTAAAAAAGTCCTGCCAGGGATGGAGACAGAGAGACTGGCTAATTTATCTTCCCTGCACAGCAGTATTCACGATGCTGCTGTCATATCCCCCCAGGCATCCCCACCGTGCCCGCAGGACAGAGGCACAGGGTAGCCTCATTCTTCCAGCATCTCACCCCCCTTATGTCCAACCCCAAGCACAAAGTGTGCTCAAATACAAAGCCAGGCCAAAAAAGTGCAAATCAGCTTCCAGGTATCAGTATCTGAGACCAGGGTTCATTTCCTCCAGTTAAGTTCTCTTGCTGTAAATCCTCCTCTGCTGGGGAAAAAAATGGGCGCCCGCAGTGCAGCTTGCACCTGCAGTTTAGGAATTAGGCTTATGAATTGTGAAGATAAGGGTAAGTTTTATGTGAATTGTCTTACCAAGATCTGTTTTTACTTTGTTGCCGATCAGAACAAATGCTGTGGCTTGACAGCCAATCCCTCAAGGAGAACTTCTGGACCATCAAAAGATCCCGTCTGTGGGGGGGGGCAGAAAAAAAGAATTTTAAAGCTAATCTAGTATTCCACAGAAAATGTCAGTGTTGGCAGTTTATAAAGGAGGTTTTTCTCACAGTGTCAACACAGAACGCTGCACCTCAGAGTAAATTCCTTTCCGTATGTTGTAACGTGAGATAAGTGAGTTTATCTGCCAATATCACCATTTTTCATGTAGGAGATGTTTTGCCTTCTCAGAAATGAAAGCACTAGCCAAATTCTATCAATTATTATGTTTGTCTTTCATTTTGAAATTTCTTTCATTTTGTATTTTGATTCCAGTTTGTGTCTATATCCTTTTGGACACTGTATACCTACAATCGAGAGCTGGTTTACCCCAAAAGCCTTGATGGAATCATCCCAGTCTGGTTAAATCACGCAATGGTGAGTAAGAAACACCCCTGCCTCTTGCAGCGAAGAGAGGCTTTGCAACGCGTGTCCCACCGTTGCATTGTGTCGCTTTCCAGAAGAGTTTCACGGCTTCTTCTTTCTCACCTCCTCCTTCCTACTTATCTGAATCTGATGTTGAGCTATACACAGCGAACAGATGTATGTGCTTGAAGTCACCTCAAGAAGCCTTTTAGCACACAAGGAATATCAGTGAATTGGTCAGACCTCTGAAGTCAATGAAATGATGCATAGTCATAAGGAAAAAAAAACCTCTTCTCTGTTATTGCAACTCAAAAAATAAATTGTTTCTGCAAACAGAAGTCTATGAAATACAAAATGGCTGGGAGCATAACAAAGCAGTTCTTAATTTTTAAAAAAGGTGAAAGAACCAAAGAACATCTGACAGCTCTACAGCTAATAAGCTAATGTGTGCACAGCTTTGAATAGCTGAATTGCAATGATTGTTTACAGATTTTCTATAAATACTTTCCAGATTTCTCCTTCATTTGCTCTGGCTGTTTTTATGATGTGTTGAATAATCACATATTTCTCATCAGTCAAGTGAAAGGAGGCTGACAGTAACATGCAAACCGTGGGTGGATTGTAAGGTCAGGGAGGCCCCGTGGGGCTAATGGGAAGGGGGAGAGAAGGGAGAGGTTCAGCGCTAGACTGAATCAGAGAAGCCAAAAAGTATGAAATAATCGCACAGAAGACTCATTTCTCTCCAGACTTGATTTCTTAAGCACAACGCTTTGCAACCCACTGCAGCAGTTCCCGATGCGTGTTGAAGGTAAATGCGGGAGGCCTCAGGGTTTCTGGCTGAGGGCGCTTGCTAAAGGTTTTGAACAGCCACTTGATTTAGACAGGCGTATTCAAATACCTGTGCCTGGAATCCAAACACACAGAGGCATGTCCGCATTACTGATATCTGAGTGATAAACTACAGTCATCATGCACTTTTAACCTTGTCACCTGCTCTCTGCCCACCAATTCATCTCCACCAGGGCCTCTACGTGGCTGTCCAAACCTCCGCACAGATGCAAACGGGCCTCGTTCTCTCTCAAAACCATCGTCCACCAAAAAGAAAGATTCCTTGTGTCCTCAGCATCATGCTGGTTTCAGGTCTGGGATGTGGTATGGACGACTGGTTGAAGTTTAAAATGTTCATGGTAGTGGAGGTGCTGGGGAAGGGGAGGGCACAGGGTAGAGCTGAGAGGAGGTGGGCTTTGCTGCTTGTTTTAATCCCGGCCCACAGCTGAGAATTTGCCCTTTCCATTTCCGCATTCGTTTATGACATGGGAAGGTTGAGAGGTGCTAGAATGTACATTTTTATTTCATGTGCAAGAACTCTTTGCAGGAATCCCTCAAACATACTCGTTATAACTTCTTTCTTACCCTACCTACATCTACATTTCATAACAGAGTCATTCTGACAACAACAAAAAGCTTTTCCATTTCAGAAATGTCAAAAACAGGTCTTAAAAAAGGAAAACAATCCTTCCGCAAAATTATTTTGACGAGAGAGAAACTTCACATAAAGAAAACCTCTATCACAACCTAGTATTTTATTTCTATAGCTCTTAATACACTGCAGACATCTTGTGCTTGACAGTTCCTAGGTGGGAAATTTTCCTTCCAGTCACTATTGAGCGTAAAACACTTGCCACCAGCATAGACTGATTCCCACTGTTGACAATCCCCACGCTTTGCGACACCTTCCAACAGGTGCCTCCGGGCTTAGCTGAGGCATTTCTTTCTTCCAACCTAAAATATCCGCTGGGAACACTAGAAAGATCCAGGGAGCTACCGACACTTTAAGGGACAATCTCCAAGTGCTGATTGCCAAGCAGACGCTTTTTCTTTGGGTTCGTTTCCTTGCACGTTGCTATACTTTATGGCTCTGAGATTACAGACATTTCATGGCAGATTGAGGCAGCATCTAGCTGGCTTTGGTGGAAAAAGACATCGGTGTATCAGTAGTAGACGTCAGTGCCATATCATTTGCAGTGGGAGTACTTTTTTTTCATCTCGGTCTATTTTAACGTTGTAAATAGGGAAAGCATATGTTGTTATGTAACTGAAGAGCAAACCCAAAAAATAATCATGCAAAACCACTTCAGGAATACCAGGCTCCTTGAGTTCACGGTGATGCTGCAGCACCTTCCTTGCAAAAATGAACTAGTCATTTATTTTTCTCACATTTACTGCTCTTACAGTAGGAAAGTGTCGTTGCCCACCTGGTAGCCCGGAGTCGTACAGAGAGCGTTACATTTTAGGCATGTTTTTGCACTCTGAGTATAAACATTTTCTGTTTTGGAGAAAGGACGGCTAACGCAGAAAGGAATCTTGCTAATATTTGAAGGAGGCCAAATACTCCAGACTACCTGGGTTTCTCTCTTTGCCTTTCTACTGAGTTTAACCCAAGGGCTGCGCCTCAGTTTCCACTTCTGTTTGCCTGGGATAATTATGTTTTACCATCTTTATACAAGCCTTTGAGCTTCATGGATGAAAAAAAAAAAAAAAACCCTACTTACGTCTCAAGCACAATTATTTTATTTGAACAAGATTTTTGAAGCGGAAGATGGCTGAGACAAAAGATATGCTGGCCAATTTGTCAAGTGAAATTGTTTATTTCTTTCGCAGTCATCCCTTTTCGAGCAACATCTGGATACTCTCCAGAAGGCGACTAACTGCTGGAGACAGCTTGGATTAAATCATATGCATGTATTATTCAACTTAATGGCAGTATAGGGGAATGCTAATTTTGAAGGGGCTTACAGAATTGAATGCTAAACAAAGAGGGGCAATGGCGGGTCAGAAGAGATCAGTCAAAAACATTTTAATCTATAACAAAAGAAAAGATACACATCAACATTGACCAGATGTGTTCACAAAAATGGGAATGGTACAATTGCCTTTTTGTAAAGGAGGTTTATATTTTCAGTCTGTAAGGCACAGTTCTTGTAAAATGCAAATTTTCTTGTAAAAAGCACAATTTTTCTTTATTTTCAGGCTGCAGCTAAGTTTAGTTTAGCCATCTCTTTTCCTAATTTAATCTGTAGCCATGTTACCCTCTCACCTTGACAAAAATCAGCATTTTAGCGTCCTGGGTACTTTACTGACACATATAGTCATAAACTGTGCATGTTCTGAAGACCTTGCAAGCTAAATAACTAAGAATAAAAAAGGAGGGATGGTAAATGGAGGCACAGAAGAAAAATGGCTTACCTGGCAGACTTTCAGCAAAGATGACGACAGACCCCCACTTGGCCTGAGCCTCTCAAGCTCCTTTGCATTTTGCCCCGATGTAATTAAGCAGTATCTGAATGTAAGAGGAAAATGCAAGGGAGTGAAAGAACAGCCTGGGTGCACACAAGTAATTTTCTTTCACTGAAGCAAGCCACTGATGCCCTGACAGTAAGAATACCAGCAAGACTCGCCATGTCCCCCCTCTTCTTGGAGCTTCTTGGTATCTACAAGCTGCTTGTGTTCTGCTCACCTAGCTAAACCGTTACCTTCCCTAGTGTGGACACAACTACATCAACAGAAATGTTATTTTGGATCAGTATGATTTACTTCTGTCTGGAAAAGAAAATAAGTTATATGAATACAAATTGCTCTTACTCCTATGCGAGGGCATCTATGTGAAGGATTATATCTTTCTACAGCTATTTTAGGAAGCTGCTGCAACACTTACCTACCAAGGGGGTGCAAAATCAGTGTGTGGAGCAGAACCCGCTTGTCCAGGCCACTCTAACTGGACTCCTGCTCCAGGTGTGTACACAAGAACCAGCTCAGGATCATCTTTGACCATCTTAAATGATTCTCCTTGCAATTGGTATTTAATGCTTAATAATTCATGCATATTTACACAAGAGAGAAACATTTCCATTTGTTTGCATTTCATAGTATCTCAATTTTAAGCTGTCTGGCAACTATGGACATTCATAGGCTTCCAATTACATTCAGCTTTTGGCAAAGAAGAAGAATGTGTGTGAGAGGGATATGGCACAGGAAATTAATCACCCCACACATTTAAGAGCAAAGATGCTTAGCTTTTCCCAGAACCACATATATATATTTTTGAAGTTTCCATTTTTGTTGACATAAGCTCATTTCCTCAGGGAGAAAGTATGTGTTTCACAGACAAATGTTATGGCAGGGAATCCTCCCTGGCCGCTGCTACCCCGGCGTGCACAGGTGCCGCCTCTGTAACCCACCCCGCGAAGGAACAGCTGGAGACAAATATTCTACAGCGAAGGATGTGTCACTTCGGTCTCATGTCAGCTTCCAGCTGCAGTGCAACATCAGTTTCTTAGACTACATATCTAATGTCAGGCAGAAATGCAATTAAAATTCTGGCATTGACACGGAGACAAAACATTTGCTAGTAAGCAACAGGATATTCAGCCAGGGCCTTATTTCCAAAAATGCATGCGTGCATGCGGAAATGTTATCTCTGAAGCTCTTATACCTTTGCTCATGCAATTGGTCTGATGTTTCATCCATTTTTCACACTAACGCTCCCAAACTACCTACACGTCTCAGGAAGAGCAGAAAAAAAATAATGTTGCTTTTCAGATGAGCATGAACGGACCTGGGAAGGGCAAAAACAGATAGTAGCCGACAGTTCAGAGGGGAGTGCTGCTGGAGTTAAATTGAGCAATAGCTTCCTGACTGATTTGTCACCACACCTGCTCAGTAACAGGACTCCTTGTGCCTCCCGCTCTATCCATAAAATAAATCTGTGGTTCCCTGAAAATGCACCGATGGCTGAGAATATAAAAGACAGGTAGTAACTCTAAGAGAGAATTATTTCTTTAACTAAATATGGCGATGTATTAGTTAAAGAAATAAAGTGAACAATAATGCTTAAGCCCCTCCCACCCTGAAAAATAAAGAGAGGTTAAGAGGGGAAGAAAAATGTATAAGGACAGATTACAAAAGAAAATTTTAAAGGAGGCATTTGAATGAAGACAGTACCATAGCAAAAT